ATACCACACCTTGAATATGCTGTACAATTTGGGGCACCTGTTCTAAATAGAAAAGTGCAGATGCAGGATGTAAACTTAAGAAAAGGCACCAAATATTTTAGTTAATTAGAAAAGTTAAATTTAAATCTGCATAGTTTAGAAAAACAGCGCCTCAGAGGAAATATTACTTTCATGTATTATACTTTTTTTGTTTGTATGGTCAAGAAATCTATTTCTAAACATGACTATATAGTTAGGTCTGGAAATATTTGGACACGGACTCAGAATTCATAATTTTGGCTTGGTATGCCACCACAATGGATTTAAAATGAAACAACTGAGATGCAATTGCAATGCAAACTTTCAGCTTCAATTCAAGGGGTTGATCAAAATATAATATGAAATATTTAGAAAGTGCAACCATTTTCCTACAAAGTCACCTTACTTCAGAAGCTCAAATGTAATTGGACAAATTAACACAATCGTAAAGAAAATAAAAATTTCTAATACTTTGAGAATCTTTTGCAGACAAATCTTAAAGTCTGGAAGCATGGACATCACCAAATGATGGGTTCCCTCCTTTGTGCTTTTCCACTCCTTTACTGCAATGGAGTTCAGTCGTTGTTTGTTTGTGTGTCTTTCTGTATTAAGTTTTGTCTTTAGCAAGTGAAATGCATGCTCAAATCGAATTGAGATCAGATGATTGACTCGGCCATTGCAGAAAATATTCTACTTCTTTGCATTAATAAACTCCTAGGTTGTTTTCACAGTATGTTTTGGGTCATTATCCATCTGTAAAGTGAAGAGCCAACCTACTGAGCTGTTCCAAGCCTTCTACATACTTTTATCTTCCCATCATTCTGGTAAAGTCTTGTGAAGTCTTTGCTTTATCTTGGACATGGATAATGATATAGATGTGGTTAATCTTCAATAGGTTGGCTACTAGACCTGAAAGCAGAGCACTACATGCTGCAGAACAGGAACCAGTCATAGCAGTCAAAGCTATCCAACATAGAGCAGCACACATGAAGAGCTGTTCAGCCCTAGTACCTGACATGATCCACAACTACTGGATAAAGAAGTTAAAAGCGCTGCATGAATGCCTATCAGCACAAATGAATCGGCTACTAGCAACAGGCCCCCACCCTAACGGGCTAACACAAGGCAGAACAATACTGGTCATGAAGGACCCTCACAAGGGAACAGCACCATCCAACTACCGACCAATAACCTTCCTCCCCACAACAGGTGGGTGGTGGGATTTGTTGGTGTATACGGGGCACCCACATGTATGAGGAAGGCTGGTCCAAGCCCAAGATGTCGTGCTCCAAGTCCACCCATCATTTGGTGCCTGGAGGTGCGTGCCTTTGTTGGATATGGGCCAGTTGGGCTGCATTGTAGTATTGTTGGAAATTGGGCAGTCCCAGTCCACCCCTGAGTCTAGGGAATTACAAGGTTGTTCTGCGAATTCTGGGTTTCTTGGCTCGCCATATGAATTTGTCTATGGCTGCCTGGAGGTGTTTGAAATCCGTATTCTGTAGCGGGACGGGTAGTGCCTGGAAGAGATAGAGAAATCTCGGTAGAAGATTCATTTTGACGGTGGTGACCCGTCCCATCCATGATATTCCCAGTTTGTCCCATCGTTGTAGGTCTGCATGCGCTATTGTGAGTAGTGGTGTGTAATGGAGTCCGTAGATATCCCCAAGTGCTGGGGATAGCTAAGTGCCCAGATAGGTGAGGGAGGGCGTGGTGATGCGGAAGGGAAGAGAGTGGTGGAGCAGGTGAAGTTGTGGGGGAGTCAGTGCTATTGGCATTAGTGTTGATTTGGTTAGGTTGATTTTATAGCCTGAAATGTTGGAGTATTCGGCTATAAGGGTGAGTGTGGCGTGCAGGGAGGGAATGGGGTCCGTCAATGTTAGGAGGATGTCATCTGCGTACGCCGCCACGGTGTATGCTTCTTTCCTAATCTGCACTCCCTGGATGGCAGGATGGAAACGAATAGGAGAGGGGAAAGGGGGCACCCCTGTCTGGTCTCATTGGCTATGGTGAAGGTTTGGGCCTCGATGTTTGGAAGTAGGAGCTTTCCCGTTGGGTGGTTGTATATTGCTCGTATGAAGTTCAGAAATCCTGGTGGGAATTACATGTGTGCGAGTACTCCGTACATATATGGCCAGAGGAGACGATCAAACGCCTTCTCTGCGTCCAGCGAGAGCACCACCGATGGGATGTTCCGGTGCTTGGTGTACCAGGCTCTCCTGGTGTTGTCTGCTGCCTGCCTTTTTGGGATGAATCCGACCTGGTCTGGATGGATCAGCGATGGTAGGTATGGGTTGAGGCGGTTGGCCAGTGCTTTTGTGAGTATCTTCAGGTCAGTATTCAGGAGAGAGATCAGACAGTAGTGTCCCGGGTCGAGGTGCTCTTTCCCCGGTTTGGGCAGGAGGCAAATATCGGCCGCCAGCATTTCGGGGGGAGTGAGTGTCCCTGTATCACAGAGTTGAAGGTTTTGCAGAGGGGTGGTATCAGTATTGTCTGGAATGTCTTGTGAAGCTGTCGGGTCCCGGGCTTTTCCTGGGTTTCAGTGTCTTGAGCACCAGGGCGATTTCCTAAGCCTCGATGGGAGTTTCCAGCATGGCTTGCTCCCTGTCAGATAGGGTGGATAGATTGAGGGGCCACAGGAAGGAGGAAATAGTGTCCGTTTGATCCGCGTCTCCCATGGGTGTCAAGGCTGTGTGGTTGTATAGATTAGTATAGTATTGGAGGAATTTGTGGGCTATAGCTTCCGGGTTTGTCGTCGTCTTTCCAGTCCTAGTCCTGATTTTCGAGATTTTCTTGTGGTCCTGTTTTTTTTTGAGACAGCGTGCTAAGAGTGAGTCCGCCTTATTGCCCTTCTCATAAAAGCGTTGTTTGGACCATATGAGATTTCGTGCCACATCTGCTGCGGAGATTTGATTGATGAGCTCCCTTGTGGATTTAAGCTGCGTGAGCAGCAATTCTGATGGGTTCTTTTTGTGGAGAGTTTCAAGCCTTATTAAGTTATTCAGGGCATCCGTGAGTTTCGAGAGTCGTTGAGGTTGCCCCTGATTGTCGCCTTATGAGCTGCCCATACCGTTGTTGGCGTAACGTCGTCGGTGGTGTTGAGGTCAAAGTAAGTTTTGAGGTTCTCTGTCACGGTGTGGACCATTGCCTTGTCTTTCAGGATCCACAGATTTAACCTCCATCGCCACGGTCGTGCTAGTAGCGGAATGTGTACAGTTAGCGCGACTTCTGCATGGTCAGACCACGCAATGTTGCCTATGTGCGTGTGGGTGGTCCAGGGATGGACCGTTGGGGAGACCATAAAGCTGTCAATGCACGGTCTCTGTGCGGCGGTTATGCTGGGGGTGGTTGAGGTCAGTGTGGAGTCCCCCAGGGCTGTTGCGTTTGGGCCTGATCTGGCGTGGTAGGGGGATGCGTGCGTGGGGTGGATTGCTATCGGGTGCTGGTTTGGCGTCTGCCGTCTGGTTTAGGTTGTGTCCCGGTTTGGCGACTGGTGCGGGGTAACTTTGCAACAGCATCCAGTCGTCGACAGTTTGCATGTTTGGTTTGTCTCCCTCTGTCTTGTGTGTGGGGAGCGTAACCTTTGTGGGCCTGTCGGCTCTGGGGGTTGTCTGGTACGTGGTCGGTCCGGGTGTCCTTTGGAGGGGTGTATCGTCAGTCCGCTCCGCAAATGGTCTACGTGTGGGAACTACCATTGTGGGTTTCGTCCGGTAGTCAGGGCTGTAGGTCCCATGTGATGCCTGAGGTGCCTTGTGCTCGTGCCCAGGGTCCTTGCATTGCGGCGGCTTGGTGGGGGGTGGGTAGGCTATTGTCATGTCTTCCCGGGCTCCTACCGTCAGGCCGTGCCCAGTGTGGCTGTGGTCTGCCTGTGCACCTATGGGGTCCTTCAAGTGCCAGTCAAACGTCCACTGCTCTTGTGCGTGTTATTGTCGCGGCCCCATGCTCCATATGTCATGCGTGGGGCCGGGGTGCCCGGTCTGTCAGTCGTCTGTCCTCCGTCCTGTCGGTCTGGTGAGCCTGAGTGTGGGGTGGTCTCTGTCCCCTACTGTTGTTTTGTCCTCAGGGGCCGAGGGGCAAGACATGTCCCGTCGCTCCTGTCCACCCAGCCCTTGTGTGGGGGGGCACGGTGGGAGGGTGTTCCTGGCCTGCGGTACCACTGGCTATCCTTTTGTCCGCGCGGTTTCTAAAGTCCTTCTTGAGGGTAATGATGATGGGCTCAGTGGAGCCTCCGACGGCGTGCTTTGGTTAGGGCTCTCGGTGAATTGTATAGTCTCCGAGGGTGTGGATGGTCCTTACGTGCGGTGTGTAGTTGCTCAGTCCAAGTTCCAGGCGAGCCCCTGTGGAGTGTTTCAGGCCATAGCCCCTGCTCTGTTGCCAGCGTCGTCCTCTTGCTCCCGCTAGACGACCTGTTCTGGGGATTCGTTCTTGCCAGTCCGTACTGCATGGAAGTCCAGACAAACCCAGCCCAGGAGGGGTTGTGGATGAGTGAAAGGAGCCAAGCTCCCGCAGAGCAGAGGTCTCTGCAGGGTGGGTAGAATTGCTGCGCCAGTAGCTGCTTTATGCTCCGCTCTACGAAGGTCAAACAGTCAGAAGTGGTCCATGCAGCGCAGACTGGTGGGTCCTGGAAGGGGTGCTTGGGTGATGTGTCAGGTGGCTGTTCCTGCCGCGCCGCTCCCTTGTCCTCCCGTCTTTTAATTGTGTGTAGCGTCCTTTCTGTGCGGTGCCGCGCTCCGGTTTGGGTGGTCACCATTCCTGGCGGGCAGATTGTTGCTTATTGGCTGTCGTGAAACGGGATCAGCGCTGGAGTGCATTGTTTCGGGGATCTGCGGTAAGCCCAGCTGGTCCAGGAGAGCAGGGATTTCATCAAGCCGCGTGAGGGAGTGGAACCTGCCGTCCTTGCGGATGATTCTCTTGAAAGGGTGGCCCCACGCATATCGGAGGCCATGATGACTGAGATGTTGTGTGAGTGGGCGCGATTCTCTCCTTCATTTCAGGGTGGTGGGTGCCAGGTCCTGGAACAGCTGGACTGGCACTCCTTCCACTTCAATGGGGGTGTCCCGGGCAGCTCTCATTAAGCGCTCTTTTATATGATAAAAGTGGAGCCTGGGGGTGGCTGTGTTGGTGCTTGGGGCTCTCAATGCTCTGTGTGCCCGGTCCATCAAAAGGTCGGCGGCTGTAGCCTCTGGCAGGAGGTTTTTAAACACTTCAGTGAGGGTATCAGTGAGGAGATCTGTCAATATGGATTCCGGTATGCCCCTCACTCTGACATTATTCCTCCGCGTTCTATTATTGAGATCCTCGTTGGTGTCTTCAAGGGAGCGTAGTTGGTCCCGCAGGTTTTGTAGTTCACTGCCGTGGGCATGCATCGTTTCCTGTGTTGCCGCCATTCTGGCCTCCGTGGCCTATGCGCGGGCTGAGAGGTCCGCCATACCTTCCATTATCGGGCATAGCCGTTTATCTAATTCTTCGGCCACCGATTTTTTGAAGTCGGCCAGGAATCCGCGCATATCCGTCTGGTCAGCGGGGCCTCCGTTCTATCAGAGTGTGGCTGACTGCTCATTTCGGGGTCTGAGTCCGTCAGGGAGGGTTCCAAAGATGGCGCCCGTGGTTGGTCTTTTGTCCAACGGAAGTCTTTTGTTGGAAGATTAGTGCCACAGAGGAGTTGTGGGCTTTCTTCCCGCCGCCCATTGAGAGGGTGAATGTGGGCGCCGAAGGGGATACTGGGGAGTAGATTCGGGGTATTTGGGGGCTCAGGTGCTGTGGACTCAGGCTAGGCCTTGGCGGAGCTCGGGGGTTATGCTGCCATTCTATTGCAGGGTTAGGCTCCGTCTTTTTTTTTTTTTAAATAACTTTCTGAATATTTATATTTTGATAAACAGATATGGCTATATACACTTATATTTCCTTCTCTGTAAGACAATTGAGTCTAATGATTATAGTCACTTTCTAAGAAATAACCATTTGTTTTGTCTAATAGATATTGCTACTTTTTCAATGTTTCATTATGTTAGAGGACTATTTAATTTTGCCAATTTTAAGTGAGAGGCTAATGTGAGCGATAGAGAGACATGAGTAATGCAAACGGCAATTACTTCCATCACATTGCTATTAGAAAGCAAAGAAATTCTTGAGTCCTGCCAATGTGATGAGATATATGACATCAATTGATTATCAATTCTAAATAGACTAAAGCTACAAGATTACTTGAATTTAATTTATTACTTAAACAACTACAAAAAAAAAATCATAATTAGTTATGTGGGTTAGATGCAGGCTATATAAAATCTCAATCTCACAATGAATTTGAGTGTTTCTTAAATGTCATATTATAAATATCTGCAATTGTATTTTCAAACAGACAGCAGTCTTCTGGATTTCATGCTATATTTCAACTACAATTAATTTAATTTTGCAAACCTTTAGTTCACAAGTCACTAAAGCTAGTCACCCTGTATTTTTTAAACCATTTTTAGCGAAGACAAAAAGTAAATTGTTTTTAATGCTTTTTGGTTGTTGTCACACTAGCAAAAAACAGCAAATCAGAAGCAAACTCCAACAAATGAGACCAACATTTGTCTGGTTGAGACAACACTCCAACAACCAGCTATGATAAGCATCTACATGGTTAAATCATGCAGTAGTGGCTATGATGTGAGGAATACCCTGGCCCGGTTCCCTGGTAATGAGGCAAAATTATTATATTCAGGCAAAACCACAATATTAAAGTACAACTGTGTGTAATATACATATAAGTGCCTCTGTGCAAAGTCAGTGTAAAGTGGTACCCACTTTACTTACGTTACATTACCCATACAATGTGTTAGTTGAGCAGGTGGGTATAATGCCCTATGCCTTCAATGATGGCTCACATAAAAGGGAAACAAAATGTATAATAGTATTGATATTCAAAAGCAAAATTCTACAACTAGAAGACCCGTGGAGAAGTATAGGTTGGCCAAACCCCACTCTATAGTTTAGAAAGTAGACAATGGTCCAGGCACTCAAGGTGTAACCAAAAATGCAGATTTTTTGGAGAAAAGTACAGGGTGTTTTCCTTGCAGCAAATAATCCATAAATATGCATAATTAAATAGATATGGGTAACATGAAAAAAAGCATGCATATGTATACAACAAACAGTGCGGGGACTGGGAGACATTTTTCAACTGACATGCATAGTGCTGTTAAAAGGGGACACACCTTCAGCAGGCACACAGTGAAGTATTGGTAGTTATGTTTTCGGTAGTCACACATATGGCTGATATTGGAAGACATATTTTCAGCAGATACAAAGTGCTGATATTGACACTGAGCTTTGCTTCCGTGTAAGTCCCTATAAGGCCAAATGGTTAGTGTGTGTTTTTCTCCCTGAAATACCAAAATCCGTTATTGTGTGGGCACAATATATTTTATTTTTCTTTATTATGATATTTGTTTAATTACATAGTATATTATTTTACAATGGCCAACACTTAAGTAAATATATCTGCAAGTTCACTCCATAGGAATGTAATAAGTGAAGTTAAAATAGTTTGTCCAATAAAAGCATTCACACAATATATTGAACAGATATCCATATTTGTAATTTGAATATAATAAGGGATAATTACAATGCAGTAAAATATAGAAAATCACCATACAGAGGTTAAACTCACAATATTTACTTTACAAGCTCAGTTCTCTACATCTAAAGTGATCCCTATATAGTAAATCAGTCTGCAGCTTTGACATCTTACTGGACATTAACTGATGCACTTTAGAAATCACCTTCAGGAGTCTGACATAATTTTAGTATGGGTATGTATCACAAATGACAAGTTCTACACATGCCCAGGCACTCTTGACAGCTTAAACAGACAACCACCACACAATACAATGGAGGGGAAATTACAGTACTGAAGTAGTGTACGGTATATACTTCCCTACCATGTAAATTTGCATGTTACTCTTTTCCCCCATGAAAACAAATGTTGGTAGTTAACACTTTTTATCACATCAATCTATTTTCTTTATTGTTTTTTTTTTTAATTATGACAACTATTATCTGTGTAGGTGCCATCATTGCTTCACACAGATATACACAATTGCAATTGTAAAATGTAAAACTATTTTTGTATGTATGCTGTTTCTTAATTTTGCACTAAGGGATACATGACACAGAGTGACACATCTAGTCATAAGTAATGTATCCAGCTTCATACCTACCATGACAGTATTGGTTTACCATAGCAGTAACCCTTTGCGCCTGCAACTTTTTTGTACTTTATTGTTCTGTACCATTTGTTGTTACATGTAGCAAAATAGCAACGGTATTGTGGAGTCAAGATTTTTCACTTGTAATACACAAGTAATACAGATATGTAGTCCACTTTACTACATTTGTCATGCTGTTTGGTTTTTACCAGTTTACTCAGTACAGTCTACCCTTTTCAGTCTTTTTGAACATGTCATCTGAAAATGCCTCCAACCTCACAACCAAAAGAAATGAGACCTTGACATATACTTATGCACTAGTAGTGAAAACCAACATGGAACTCTCTCTGGAAGGCACTTCTTCCAATTGTTCTTTTGAAAAAGGGCAAACAGAAAGAAAGATGAATAACCAACAATTTTAAACCTAGTAGGGGAAAATGGAAAATCCCAATCGCTATTCCCCTATCAAAACAGAATCTCATCAGAAACGCAAAAGATCCAAAGAAAAGTGAGACATAGAATGTAAGAACCATTTGGCCCATCTAGCCTGCCCAATATTTCCAATTTTTTTTAATTAGTCTCTGGCCTTATCTTATAGTTAGGATAGCCTTATGCCTATCCCACGCACGCTCAAACTCCCTTACTGTGTTAACCTCTACCACTTCAGCTGGAAGGCTATTCCATGAATCCACTGCCCACTCAGTAAAGTAATTCTTCCTGATATTTTTAAACCTTTGTCCCTCTAATTTAAGACCATGTCCTCTTGTTGTGGTAGTTTTTCTTCTTTTAAATATAGTCTCCTCCTTTACTGTGTTGATTCCCTTTATGTATTTAAATGTTTCTATCATATCCCCCCTGTTTCGCTATACATGTTAAGATCCTTTAACCTTTCCTGGTAAGTTTTATCCTGCAATCCATGAACCTGCTTAGTAGCCCTTCTCTGAAAAATGTTTCTAGAGTATCAATATCCTATGGTCTCCAGTACTGCGTAAAATACTAGTGTTCTGTACAGTGGCATGAGCACTTCTCTCTTTCTACAGTGCCTTGTAAAAATATTCACCCCCTTGTCATTTTTCGTGTTTTGCTGCCTCACAACCTGGAATTAATATGGATTATTTGAGGATTTGCATCATTAAATTTACAGAACATGCCCACAACTTTGAAGGTTTTTTTTATTGTGAAGCAAACAACAAATAAGACAAAATAACAGAAAAAGTCAATGTGCATAACTATTCACCCCATCTAAAGTCAATACTTTGTAGAGCCACCTTTTGCGACAATCACAGCTCCAAGTCGCTTTGGATAAGTCTCTATGAGCTTGCCACGTCTTACCACTGGGAATTTTGCACATTACTCCTCCAGCTCCTTCAAGGTGGATGGTTTGCGCTTGTTAACAGCAATCTTTAAATCTGACCACAGATTTTCTATTGGATTAAGGTCTGGGCTCTGACTTGGCCATTCCAACACATTTACATGTTTCCCCTTAAACTGCTCAAGTGTTGCTTTAGCAGTGTGTTTGGGGTCATTGTCCTGCTGGAAGGTGTACCTCCATCCTAGCCTCAAATCACGCATAGAGTGGTACAGGTTTTGCTCAAGAATATCCCTGTATTTAGCACCATCCATCTTTCCCTCAACTGTGACCAGTTTCCTAGTCCCGGATGCTGAAAAACATCCCCACAGCATTAAGCTGCCACCACCATGTTTCACTGTTGGGATGGTGTTCTTTGGGTGATGTCATGTGTTGGGTTTGCGCCAGACAGAGTTTTCTTTGATGGTCGAAAAGTTCAATATTAGTCTCATCAGAGCACCTTCCTCCATACATTTTGGGAGTCTCCCACATGCCTTTTCGCAAATTCAAAATGTGCCATTTTGTTTTTTGCTGAAAGTAATGGCTTTCTTCTGGCCACTCTGTCATAAAGCCCAACACTATGGAGTGTACGGTCCTATGTACAGATACTCCAGTCTCTGCTGTGAAACTCTGCAGCTCCTCCAGGGTTACCTTAGGTCTCTGTGCTGCCTCTCTGCTTAATGCCCTCCTTGCCCGGTCCGTGAGTTTTGGTGGGGACCCCGACTGGGTACCTCCGTTGAAGGATGCTCCTAGCGCTTCCTGAGGACTCCAAGCACTGCAGCAGACACCACAACCACCAAACTGGAGAAGCATATGAATGCTGTAA